CACTGAGATGTTGGCGCATGCATCTCTAATCTGTATGTATCTGATTATTACTAGTTATAATCGGTTGCACTTGGATCTTTGGTGCCTGTGTATGTCTATAAAGTCATCAGGTAGATTTCAATGGTAATGTTTATCACCTCCACTAATTATCATGATATAAATTTCCATGCTTCCTCCTCAAATATATTTTTTTAAAATTTGTTGTTTCTTTTGTGTGTGTTTAAATTTTTAACACATAAGTATCTCATATGGTATCTTTAGGCTGTCTAGGTAATAAAACTTTATACTGAGTATTAAAAACAAAAATGCCAGTAAGAAAGGATACCATATACCTGAGTCTCTTTCTATATAATCATAAACTAGGATGAAAGAAAAACGCAAAGGTAGGCTTACTGTACCATCCTATATGTATATCTACAGGAGGAACTAAAGCTGTGCATGTACTACCTCTGACTACCATCCATATAAAGCATGTAGATAATGTACTTCTTGCTAACTAATGTTTTATGTGTACAGTGACTATGTGAGCTCTCTGCTCATAATCCAGATTTGCTCTCTTTTTTGTCATGTTTTAAATCAGTTTACTTTTGGAAACTGAAAAATTATCAGAAAATGTTCTCATTCAACTAGAGGTTATCTTGCACAGCAAGGCACCCATAGGCTAAAGCTTTTGAAAAATAAATAGCTTGAGCAATAATTTCCTGTAATGGGATAAAGATCAGTGATGAATGACAAATCTAAGATTAAGACTTTCTTAACCTATATGCTTAATTACTTAATAAACATGTGACATGAGAAACAAAATCCAAGTGAAGCATAAGGAAGTCAGTTAATTAGCAAAAGCCTGGATATTCCTAAATATACAAGGACAGAAAGAGTGACAGAAAATGCTTTAAAAAAAATAAACACAGGAACCTAGAAATCATATAAACAATACTGAGAAAACATAACAAGAGAAATTAAAGTTTAAACATTTTGATCCTATGGAGATATAAGAGGATCCTAAGTGAATTTCAAAATCAAATTCGCTCAGGATGGTATTTTACCTGGGCTTTGAAAGCTTGTAACTCTGCTTGAAGCTCATTAATCTTTGCCTCTTTCTTCTGCAACTGCGCCTGAGTTTCTTGGTGGTCGGTAAACTCTTTTTCAAACTGAAAAGGAATAAAAGAGAGGGAAAGATGGAAATAAAAAGCACTATTCTTCACATAAAAAAATATGATTCTAATGACCTGTCACTAGAATGCTTCTGAATTGGTTTAATAAAAGGAGTGGTACACTTCTGGTAAGTCACCCACAGTCTTTCTCTGGGTCTCTACAGGTCCCTCCAAAATCATTCATTCACAAGGGAAGAGATAAAGCTTAAGATGGAGGATGTCACCTTTCTTCCCAACAGTGCAAAAGAGCCCATCATTATCTATGACCTTGGCATTTTTCTTTAAAGTCCCTAAATATCATAGCCATTTTGAATAAAATGACAGCAAAACATTGTATTAAACTCCTTGCCACTGTCTACCTGCAAAACCTGACACTGAAACTTATCTGGGGTTTATCAGCATAACTTAAAAGCATTGCATTTTAACAACTTTAATAGAAAACATCTCCATTCCATAAATATATCAATCATTTTTTTTCTTAGGGCATATCTTCTACTATCTTTGGAAATTAATAGTAAATTACATTTTCAAAGTCCCTAATGCAATCCTTTCTGGGAGGAAGGCAAATACTAAATGTTGGCGTTCCAATGGGTTTTCTAATTTATATAGCCACTCATCACAAGTTCCCATCTTACATTCAAATAATTTCACTTTGCCATGATTAGAATTCAACCTCTAAGAGAAGTGAATTACATATACTCTTGCCTCATAATTAAAAAAAAAAAGTACAGAGCTCTATTTCAGAAATGAAAAAAATATCAAAATAGTTGAAACTACTTCACAAATGAAGCACCTCTAGACTTTATGTTAGTCAAACCTCAACTGGGAAAACAGCAATATGAGACTTACCTTATCAAAGGCTATTATCTTGATTTAGTTTACAGGGGAATCTTGTTTTACACCTAACACATAGTGATAGTCACTATTCTATGATGTAAAAAATATTTAAGATTAAAAAGGAAGAATTTTTTACCTTTAAACTTGGAGTTATTCAGATAGAACTACATGATATCCTGAAACTAATGGTTAATAATGATTAATTTTCTTAAATAACTGTGGTAGAGCAATTGATCATAAGTAAAAAGCAGAGAGAATGCATATCCCTGTGCCCCCACATTAGTGCTGTATCCCCATTTTATAGTCTTGAAACCAAAAATGAAGCATTTTCAGATTTCAAAGAATTTTTGAAATAGAAATATTATTTTAAATCCTACTTTAGAAGTAAGGAAAGTACACTGCAAACCACAAATCATCATTCTCAACCCCAGTTTAATTTTAATAGTAATAGAAGAGATAGAAATGGAGGGAGAACATCCAAATTCCTTCTATGAAGCCAGCATCACACTAATAGCAAAGCCAGGTAAAGATACAACCAAAAAAGGAAACTATAGACCCATATCCTTAATGAACACACAGAGATGAACGGACACTTTCTAAATTCCTATCACTGGCTCAGGTCTTCTAAATCCAGACTACTATCAATCCATAAACATATGGTCAATTGTTTTCTTTAAAAAAAGTCAAGTTAAAAACTTTTCAAAACAAAATTTATCTTTGACCCTTCCAAACATATTTTTTGAGTACTACTGTTCTTATAAAATACAATAAAATTCCAATACATGATTACATGATTCAAACTTTCAGTAGGTTTATTAAAACCATTAATACCTAATCTCTTTCCCACTATGCAATTAATACATAACAGTATGCCTGTGGCATGTTTCTCAATACATTAGGTTGCAGAAATAGAGGGCAGAACAGAATATATATAGCAACTCTTAGAAATAACCATGTCTAGTTGTGAAGTAAAAGCAAAGTAACCACCCTGGGTGTATAAAAATTACCAGCAATAAAGACGGAGCAAGCAAGCAAGGAAATTAATCCTGGAGTAATGAGGCTTTACCTTAGTTTGAAGAACTTGAAGAAATGGCTGAAAAATGCAGGTACAATTGTAAGAACAAGGAAGGGCATGAAATAAACTGTAGAGATGAAACTATATGACTGAAATAATAAAGAATTGTTCCTTTTTCCTAAAATCTATAGAGAGTTATGAAAGAAAGTAAACAGAGAAATTCATATTATCAAGTTTGCACTTTGAAATATCCAGCCACCAACAGTGTGGATGGTGGAATGAAAGAGAAATAGCATAGGCAAGGAAATTACTTTCAAGCCTACTGCAGTTATCCAGCAATGACTAAGGGGAAAGAGAGGGCTACAAGAAGGAATTAAGACTAGGGATTCCAGAGCAAGAAAGATGGCTCAACCATTAAGAGCACTGGCTGCTCTCACAGAGAAACCAGGTTCAAATCTCAGCACCCACATGACAACTAACAACCATCTGTAACTTCAGTGTCAGGGGATTCACCACATTCTTCTGACCTCCATGGGTATTGCACAATACAGTTGCACTTACATACAAGCAGGCATAACACTCATTCACCTAAAATAAAATAATAACTAAAAAAAATCTAAGATAACTATAAGTAGATATAAGTGCTGTGGTTTTTCAAATTGGAAATGTGAAGTAATATAGTGAGAAAAGTAAGACTATAAAACAGAGTGGAAAAGTAGTTTTAGAAAAGAGATAAATTTGGTAGATATTGTATTAATCAGCTTGCATTACTACAAAGAAGTATCTGACATAGGCTATTTAGGAAAGAGGAGGTAGCTTGGGCTTACAAATTTGGAGGTTCAACATGCAAAAATCAAGAAACAGGCTTTAAAGTGACGTCTCACCCTTTACTCATCACCTCACACCACAGATGGTAAAACGACTGTGCAAAGCAATCAAATGATCAGATGAAGAAGCAGGGGCAGAGAAACAGGGGAAGCTGGGCTTGATCCTTTTACATGAACCATCTCCTTTCCTCTCAAGAGTAGTAGAAGGGATGGAACAGAAGAATACTTAATGCCCACCGGCCTAAGTCTCTAGTGCTAGGTTCCATCACTCATTGGTTCCACCAAATCCCAGTGCTGTGCTGGGAACCAAACCTTTAATAACATCTGATTCTTTAGAGGGATGCTGTCAAACCATACTTAAACTACAGGAGACATGGTAAGCTTGAGATACCAGCAAGAAATTCCAAAGACATACCTCCTTCTCACATACCTCAATTAGATATTGCACACTAATTCTTCAGGGCTCACACAGCTACATCAGTAATTCTTCCCTGGCCACACAAGATTAACAAGAAACCTTGGGCTAGCCTTGCATAGCAAATGAGATTTTTCTAACAGAAATTATATTATCATATTTCAAATACAATGCCATCCACCTCAATAGTACTCGATATGTAAGCCCACAAAAGTGAAAGCCTTTTGTACCTTAAACTTTTCCATTGCCTTACATTTATAGTTAAACTCAATAAATATTTGTTTAATGGGGGCAAGAGGCAACTCCTATTAAATATTCCCTTCTACATTTAATGACTTTGTCTCAATATCCTGCATTAAATTTCTGCTTTCCCTTTTCTGCTACTAACACAAAGTTCACTGCAAGGATGTAAGCCAAAAAAAGAAAAAAAATTTAAGAAGATAAATGAACTCTTATTAGAATAACAAAGTTCTTAACAATATGAACATTTATTCTGTCCTATTTCTACACTAAAATTTGGAGGGAAAAGTGATTTGTGAAAGACAATAGGAAAAGATCATAATTAGTATACTCTATCAAATTTAATAAATTAACTTGGCCATAACAATAAAAGTATCTACATTTCTTACAGAGAGATAAATTTCCTCATGCTCACCTATAAAAGAATAAGATGAAGTATAAAGTTTGCCTTAGCATTTTTGTAGTATCTATAGTCAAATCACTATAGACTTGAGGATGAAATGAGTCTCTATTAAGTATTCCTTATAAAAACTGATAAAACAGTCTCTTCCAAAAAGAGAGTTGATGGAACGATTTTATACTTACAAAATTACACTAAAAAATGTCAAGAAACACAGTTAAGGTTGAGGTTCTGTTTAATTTCATTCCCTAGGGTAAATGTTATTAGTGGCTCTGTACAAGAAGGCTGATAATTCAATAGATTCTATGTACTATCTGACATTTATTGTCTTCATTTTTCAAATTTATGTACCTAAATAAAAACTGTAGCTAGCAACTATGATAGTTTCCTGCCTAAAGCAAAGTATTTACATGTGTCCTTACAAAGCTATCAAAGTTTTTGCTGATATATACAACATAGTATGGCAATATCTTTTATGAAGCAAAAATGTTTTCTGACTATACCTAATACACATAATTTCTGGCTAAAAAGGGTAAGTAACCTTGAACAAGGTCTTTCTTTTATTTACATTTAAAGCTTACTATTTCAAAAAAGACAATTGAGAAATTTGCATTTAACCCAATTCATATACCCCACACCCCAATAAATGATAGCAAGTATAAGCTATACTATTTGTGACATGTTAGCTTCTAGTACATGAAAACATTAACTGCTTTACTATAAAAAGGGAAAGTAACTAGAGTAGAATACCAAGTTGGTTGGGGCAAAGGTTACACTTTAACTATTAACAGTTTCGAGGATTTAAATAATCCAACAACTTCTCTCTTCTGTTAACTACATCTTCTAACCAATGAAATTATATTCAATGCTGAAACCCTAGCAAGAAGCCAATGGTCTGAGCTATAATCTCTCAGGAAGTGTTTGGTAGAGTCCATCTCTTAGAATTTCTTAAGACTTCACAGAAGATAATTTTGTCAGAAGTTTCTCTTAACTTATGAAAGGGTACTTTTCATTTGCAAGTTATGTTTGATCTTCAAGTTTACAGAAAACTAGAAATATTTCCGGGTACAGTAAGACCTACTACATTGACTATGTAACACTTCATACGATGATGTCTGACATAATAAAAGAAGGTTCACTAAGTAAATACACATTGTAGACTGGTTGCTGGGGTACCCCACACTAATATGCCAAGCCAGTTCCAAGAATTCAAATAAGAATAACTAACTCAAAAGTCAGGAACCATCATGAAATCTGATACAT